ATTGATATGATATCTTTTTTCATTGGCTCTGAATTTTGAAGGAGTGTTGAGTACCCCGAACTCCTTAACAGTGAGACTTCACCTTTTCAAAATCATTTAAGATTCATGATTTCCAATCTCAAAGTATATTTTTTATATTTGTTAAATAATTCACACAAATATATTTTTCATTCCTCACTTAATTTTGTTCAATATTCATCCATTTTCGTTGAAGATGGCCCCAAAACCATTTTCAATTTTCACATGCAGGAGAGGTCAAAATGATTTTAAATTATGTATGTGAAATTTTAATTTTTTAGGTCAAAATGTTTGGAAAAATAAATCACAAATGTTGAAATAAAAATATTATCAAGAAAAATTAACTAAAAAAAAAAAAAAAAGGTCCATTTTCTTGTTGGCTGTGCAAAACTTACGGCCTCGCCTTTAAGGCTAAGGGGATATACACAAACATAGGTCATCCTACTTTGTGTTGGATGAGTGTGCGCGGTTGAGCCAATATTTCCATTGAAATTGTTAAGAATTAATCCTGGCCTTTGATCGTATAGCCATTGGGAACAAGTTTGAATTGTGGCCATCTGATTCCAACAACAATATTAATACCTAACACAATGGTCCACAAATTTGACTTTGCACACGAGAGCAAGTGGCCTGTTTGATTGGGCAACACCAATTTTCAGTCCAGACAAAAGGTGGAATGCTATTCCACCTAATATATGGACTGGATTGATATTTCACTTGGCCCTATACATGAGTTGGGGGCTCTATCCAGGCTATATTGCTAAAATTTGACATTTGGCCCTTCCGATTGGAGATGGCCTTATTTAGGATAAGGATGTTCCTTCCTAGATGGAATCCGTTGTAGAGAACGATGTGATTGTACCCCTTGATTTCAATCAATGATGTTCTTCTTTCTGCTAAAAAAAAATAAAATAAAAAAATTGAAATCGTTATCAAACGGCCCTAAATTTTTACTATTTTAATTAAGTAAAATTTTGTAGGGTCACATGCCTTGGGTTATAAAAACTAATTGAGCAATTCCAGTACTGTGTTGATCAATTTACAATAAATTATTAGTTTGAAAAAATATCTGGTTCGCGCACCCGCCGAATGGGCGATTTCACCCAGCACTTTCATCTGAGGATCATTGAGTCGTGCGTCAATCCGGATACTTTCATTATTTTTATTGAAATCATACGACCACTGAACTAAATCGTGCATCCTTTTATTTTACAAAAATATTGTTGAGTGCAATAAACGTTTTTACCATGCATGTAAAACATAGAACAATGTCGTACGTACAATTAGTAGGTTTATTTATAAGTTCTTGTGGGTTGAGAATGTATTGCAACTTAACCAAATTGATAAAACTCTTATCCTTAATAATGATATTGAGAGGACTTAAATCGGTTATGGCACTGTTGTTGGATTGAGTTGAACAGATGGGACCAATGGTGGAAAATGAACTTGTTAGATGCAGATGGAAAATGGACAAATGCATGTGGAATCAATGGTCCATTTGAACTTTCCCATTGAAGACTTGTAAACTCCATGTTTTTCTCCTAATGAAAGTCTTAAGCATCTATGAGGTGATTTTTTTTTTTTTTTTTCCAATTGTTGAAATTTCAATGCATGCGTCCCCAATTCCCATTCAACTAAGACAAAAAGGAAAACTCCAAAATTCCAAGTCGTTGAAATTACATTATATCCCAACTTTTACGCTTCATTTTCCTAAGAATTTGAAAGAGAGCATTAATGAGTAAACAAAATTCCAAAGTTTTGGAAAGCAATTGATATGATATCTTTTTTTATTGGCTCTGGACTGATTTTGAAGGAGTGTTGAGTAACCCAAATTCTTTAACAGTGAGACTTTAACTTTTCCAAATCATTCATGATCTCCAATCTCAAAGTATATTTTTTCTTTGAAACACAAAGATTAATTTGTGTTGTTTTTTCAATTAAAATTTGAAAGAAAGTTTTGCCGAATAATTAGTTTGGTCTCCATTGATATTGTTGGAGTGCTAGTTGTTTCGAAAATTTTCGGTATCTCAAAATCATTGGAAGAGAAGAACTTGGGTACGGAATTCCTTACCTTATGGCCACATTAGTGACATGCACTTTATAAAATATACATTTCATTTTACTTGGTATAACCTGCCAGTCAATCTGCTACATATGGCTATAGGCTCTCCCTAATGAAGTTTTTCTCCAATGGAAATGCTCTAATTACCTTTTCTATTGATATCTTAAAGAGTTATGGAGACCACCTTTCTATTGGTCGATTGAAAAAGAAAAAAGTATCAATATGCAACGGACCTTTCTATAATAACTTTTTGTTACCAACTGATTTACAAAGGATAGGATTCCCAAATTTTCAACAATAACAAAAAATAACTTATGTCTCTTGAATAAAGTATCTAATATCCAACTCCCTCAATTTAGGCTAGAATTATTACATATGTAGTTAATATTAGGCAGCCTTAATATTACTTACATTGGTGCGTAAACATATACTTGTACATTTTACTCTAATTCAGGAATTGCTGGTAACTCTAAGCGTCTTGCTGGGATGCTTGCATGTGTTGTTGTAGGACCTGCAGAGACAAAAGGATTAGGAGGCATGACCAAGTTATCTCCTCCTTCTAACATATGAACCACTATTTGCATAGACGGACGATCCACCGGGTGCCACTGGATGCACCAGAGCCCTACTATTGCAAGTGTCTTCGGGATTTTACCATCTCCGTTATCTCCAATATGGATTCGTAGGTCATCTCCTCCTTCTAGAAGATTATAGATCCATTCTGGGTAGTAAATTTCATCTGTGTTCTTTGTGCTTGAACCAATATTCTTCCTTCCTCCTACCATCTCTAGCAACAACATTCCAAAACTATAGACATCTGACTTGTAAGACACAATTCCAAAATTCCTAGAGAACACTTCAGGTGCAATGTATCCCATGGTGCCTCTAGCTGTAGTCATTGACACTATACTTTGATCCTTGGAACATAATTTGGCCAAACCAAAATCAGAAATTTTTGGAGTGAAGTTGTGGTCTAGCAAAACATTATGGGGTTTGATATCAAAATGGAGGATTCGTTGATCACATCCCTGGTGAAGATATTCAATTCCTTTGGCTATGCCTACAGCAATATCATGCAACTTTTCCCAACCAAGGAAACTGTGCTTACTATCCGCTGATGAAATGAAATCCTGCAGCGAACCATTGGGGAAGAACTCATAAACAAGAGCTCGTCTAAATCCATCGGCACAAAAGCCAACCAAACGAACTACGTTGACGTGGTGGATGTGGCCCATCGTTCCCACTTCATTTACGAACTCTTCCCCATTTCCCATAGAATTGTTAAGTACTTTCACAGCAACAAAGAATTCAGAAGAAAGCTTTCCTTTAAAAACAGTTCCGTAGGCTCCTTCGCCCAACTTGTCCTTGAATTGATTTGTGATCCTCTTAATATCTGCGTATGAATATCTGCTTGGCTTGAGAGCTTTGTAATCCTCTAAAAACCTTTTGATTTTCAGTTGATTCTCTTTTTCCTTTTGATCAGCGCTATAGACACGATACACTGCAATGAACAGTACTAAAAGAAGGGATGAACCCAGGGTTGCACCTGAAAATAAATACAATCCTTCAGCAAACGCATATCTTCCATCGTCCTCAAGACATGAAACAAAGCAAACGAAAAATACCAGTTTTAATTAACTCACCTGTTGCCACAAATTTCGTTGTTTGGCCTGTAAAACAGAATTGCAAAATCAGATTGTCATGTTGGTAGCAGATTATATTGATCATCATGTATGCATATATGATTTACTTTGAAAACTGTAAAAACTTGAGCGCAATTTATGTGAAACAAACATTTATATAATCCTTACTTGCTTTGCTCACGTGAACACATTCAACTTCACTTTTGATGCCATTGTTGTTCAATCTACACCTCTTTCCCTCTGCTTCACATTCTGTACAATTTGGTTCAGACCATTTGAAACTAGCAATAGAGGTACCATCTCCCATCCAAGTCCCAAATGGAACTGATAAAACATCATACATCCGTGTACAAGACTGTAGGTTTGGTAAGTAGTCAAACAAATCATAGTCAGAAGAAACGCCATAAACTTCGTAGCCAGGGCCGCCGCCAAGGCAGGGGACTTGATATTTATATATGTCTCTTTCAAAAGGAGTAGGACAATGGAATAAGGAAACGTTATGTATTTCGGTGTCTAATAAGTAGAAGGGGGAGATTGGAATGTTAGGGGTTTCTAAGGGCTTTAACAGCAGGCAGAAATCTTGGCTATATATTAGCCCACGCTTGTAATCTATGCTTTTGACAAAGAATTTTACTAGCGCTACTTGCTGCTCAAGAACAGCCTCCTGTCTACCATTATTGCATCCAAGCCCGGAATTGCCACAATGATTTCCGAGGAGGAATGGGAAATGGATAGCCAGGCCATGATCATTACTGCACTTTGATTATGTACACCAATTTTGGCTTGCTCCAACAGCCGTGAAGAAAACACATAACAATATGCAAAAGGAAG